CCCCTGTAGTTGTTACAGTCTGTGCGGTCCCCCTTCTTAAAGAGGGGGACCACCAGGGCATCCTTCCGATCCTGCGGGGTGGGAGATCTGAGCGACGCACACATACATACACACATGCATGCACATACACACACGAACACATACACAACAACCGACATTCGCCACTAAGTGGCGGTGACGTCACCACGACGCTTGTGCCAGGCCAAGTGCACCTTGAGGCCACGTGAAGTGTCGAACGCCCGCTGGCAGGAGGTCACGGGGCAGACCCAGGTGCCACGGGTCGACTGACTGAGATGACTGGCTGATGCACCACCTGTGCCCCCTACTGTGCCAACTTGCTGTGCTTTAGCCACCCGGCGCTCCGCTCATTGTTGTGAGCGTCGCTCCTCCGCCCTCCGTTGTTGCTGGAGGGCGACTGCCTCCAACTGCCCAGTAGCGTCCTTCACGAGCCTCCTCCACTGAGGCCGATCTTGACACCGCTGGTACCAGTCATCGGCAAGTCCACTCAGCTCCACGTCCTCCTGTACCACATCACTCCATCTCTTCTCTAGCCCGTGCCGCGCCCGTTTAGCCCACTCAATCCGGCCGAACAAAAGCTGTTTAGGCATGCGGTGGCTGGGCATGCGGGCTACATGACCCAGCCATGTTTATGTTAATATCGTAGTTTAGTGGTAATAACATACACACACACATGAACACATACACACACACATGCACGCACACACAAATATATATCGGTGTACTTTTCCGCATATTTGACATCTTACAGCTGCCCTGCAGAAGCGGTGAATTTACTTTTTTAAACAAACAAAGCAAAAGTTATCTCTTTTAAATCTTAAAACCCGAAAGTATCACCGTGACTTGAAGCATTTTTTTGAAAGGCGATCCCCTTGTGATGAAAAGCGTGGACTGGTTTATTATTTATTTATATTTGGGGGGTATCTGTTTTTTAAAACGGCAAGCCAAAGCAAAAAAAAGGAAGGTGCTGCATTTCCTTGTTGTTGAAAAACGTGCCTCTGTGTTCAACCCATGATTAGCTAAACCGGGTTCGGCTCTACTACACCGTCACCTCCCCGACACCCAATCACGTTTCCGCTCCTCTTCCCTTCTGGCTGCCCTCCATTGGAATAAACTACCACTGCACGTCAAAAGGGCAACTTCACGAACCATGTTTCCGTTCCTCAAGACTCATCTCTTTTTCAATATTCTATCCCTCTACCCCCTCCTAGCCTCGTCCTTAAAACCTTAACCAGCCTCCTCCTAACCACGCCAGTGCTACCTTTTCTTATCATTACCCTCCAGTACCATCCTCCAAATTCCTAACCTCACCCCTCTCCCTTTCCCTATCACCCTTCCTAAACATCCATTCTCCTCCCCTACACTCGAATCTCATCCCTTTTCCCCACCAGCCAATAACTAATGCACCATGTAGAATTATTGTGTAAAGGAGAGCCGACACAAGATTGCAGGGGGTTCGTCTTTTAATCCTTTTCTCCCATCCACACCTGTCCCCTGCCGTCCCAATCTCGTTCCCGCCAAAGGCCCCTTCTTCCCACCCGTTCTCCCGCTATATCTCCTCGATTACCCCTCCCACTAACCCTCCTATTGGTGGGAATCCTTCCCCTGACACCCCTACAATTGTAAAGTGCTTTTAAATTATCGATGAGAACTACTGTATATACAGCATCGTATCACTTGCTGCTTTTTTTACACACTCTATTCAACTTGCACTGTTATCTGTTTATATTCTTTCAAATCTTTGAGGCTTTAATATCATCGAATCTACGAAGCCTAACAAGCTAACATTTTATACAGACTCGTCGTCTCGTGTGGCAATTCAATATTTAATTTAAAGAACCAGTCCAGGTTCCGCCCATCATTGGCTTTTTTTTTATTTCACTATTTAAATTTGTCTTCTACTTCTGTCAACACAATCCTCTTACCTTCGAGCTACTGTGGTGGTTGTCTTTTTTTAGGCCGCCGGTTGGGAAAGAAAACAAACCTTTTCCTTATTGTGCTAGACCAGTGGTTCTCAACTTGTTGGGACCCCTGATCACCGGTGGCTTGCGACGGTTGGTCCGCTGTGGATGTGATGGAAATCGATCAAACGATTGTTCTTTACAATGTGTGTGTGCCAATATTGGACTCTAGAGTAGGCTTCGGTTACACATTAGAGCGGAGATGGGAAGGTTGGCTTCGAAAGTGTGAAAGAAGTTCATCATGCATACAGATGTAATGACAGAAAAATTACCCCAAGCCAATATGTAGCCGAACGGCAATTTGAAATTTTTGCCGAACGGCAATTTGAAATTATGGAAGAGGTACGTAGACGACACTTTTGTCATCTGGCCACATGGCCGGCCTGATCTAGACCAATTTCTCGACCACATCAATTCCATACACCCAGCCATCAGATTCACCATGGAAGTCGAAAAAGATGGCAAGCTACCCTTTTTGGATGTCCTAATTAAAAGGAGACCTAATGGTTCAATGAGCCACTCTGTCTACAGGAAAGCCACCCATACGGATGCTTACCTAAAACCGGATTCCCACCACCATCCATCCCAGAAGAATTCCCTCATCAAGACTCTATACCATAAAGCCCAATGCATCTCCGACCAAGAACACATTGCCAGTGAACTCAAACACGTACGCCAAGCTCTTAAGGCTAATGGTTACTCCGACTACACAATCCGCAAAGCCATCACTCCAACCATCAAGAAGGATCCTGTTGAGGAGCCTTTCAAGACCATCACCTTACCCAACATTGCTGGGGTCACAAAAAAGATCTCCAAAATCCTGATTAAACACAAGATCCAGGTTCGATTCAACACAGTACATAAAATCCGTGATCTGGTCCCGTCTGTAAAAGATGTGGTTCCAGACATACAGTACCCTGGCGTCTACAAACTAAGTTGCCTCTGTGGTAGCAGTTACATTGGGGAAACCAAACGACATGTCTCGGACCGCATCCGTGAACATAAAGCAGACCTGAAACACGGTAGGACAAACACCTCAGCCGTGGCAGATCACTGTTACAACTCAGTGGGCTCACATGACATTGACTTCTCCAAGACAGAGGTTCTCTGCAAGCCATCTGGCTATCATGAGAGATTCGTTCATGAGGCGATCCACATATACAAACACAGAGACAATTTCAACCGAGAAGATGGATTCTGGCTTAGCAATCATTGGAAGGACGTAATAAACCATTTCGGATCTTAACTGATTGTGTTCACGTTTACGGTGACTTTCAGACCGCGTTCCACTCACTGGCATTGTATTCTCCGCAGGGAATGGATTCTTTACTCCGCTGCAAGTTTCCCCCCACGACTCACCCATTGACACGACGGTCAATGGTACAGTGTATAATAACAAATAGTATAACATTTATATGCTTAATACAATGTACAAAGTAATATATAGTATCGTAATTGTATAGTAAACATATAGCAGTGTGATACACATTAGGGTGGGTAGAATAATACATAGTGTTATATTAAAATGTATAAGGTATAGGGTGGTTTATAGCAATACAGTATATAATTTAATGTTGGGTTTGTCTATGGCAGTATATAGTACGGTGTATACTAGTGTGATGTAAGAGAATAAAGTTTAGATGGAAGCATATTATATAATTTTTTACGACGTAGAATTGTAATGTATTACTTACTGTTAGTAACTCAGCTTATTGTAGAGTATAGTAAGTATACTGATGATGCTATGCAGTTTATACTTTAGTTTTTTTATGTAGTTTATACTTTAGTTTTCTACGTGGTTGTTTAGTAATCGGCCCGATGTCGGCCCGATGTCGTCCACCTCACTCGCCCTTATTTACCCGCTCGACCGCACCCCCATCAGACAGTGAGCCCCCCCCCCCCCCACACTTAATTATCGCATGTGACAGTGCCTTACGGCCACCTGTTTTCAACCATCTCAACTCGCCCTTCCAGAACCTTCTCATATACAGTAACTAAATAAATAAAGTTATAAGAAAGTTTTTTTCTTTCAGTTATGAGAGGAGTGAGTAGGTTGCGCAGACCACAGAATTAAGAGATATGCTGCAGAAGGAAAACAAAATAAACACACAAACCAGTTGTAAATACATGTACTTTCAATTTAGTATAAGAGTGTATAGGGTCGTGTGTAGTGCATATAGTAGTGTGTGTGTAGTATATATTACTAAAGTAGTGTAGTGTGTAGTGTACTAGCCTTTTGCCCGTACAAGGACGAGTGTATTGCAGTAAATCTGAAACTTGCAAGTGAAAAGCAGACCGCGACGTGATATTAATTGCACCAATGCGTGTGCAATTTGTAAGGGCGCGGTGACACAGGCCTATTTGATTCTAAGGTTATAATCCCTTGTTCATCATGACGACCTTTAAACTTTGTCTTAATAGCGTTGCGGAGATCTGTGACGTGAGGGTTCTACCTTTGTAGTTAGGTTTCTAAGTTCATGACGAAGAGGTGGGAGGAGGCGCCTCGCCCCCCCATGTGGAGGGACGTCAGCCGCTAATTATTCATGGTGGGGGGTGTCCAATTGGAGGACATCACCTCTTCATGATTATTAATGAGGGGGGGGGGTCAATGTGGAGGACGTAACCTGTTCATGATTATTAATCAGGGGGGCTGGTCGACGTGGAGGTGCGTAACTAGAGTTAAGGACATTCCTGGGTAATTATAGTAGGGATAGGTGTGTATGTTGAACTTCTTTAGCACCATACGTAGCTAATCAGAGGTGCGGGGGGAAGGACAGCAAACTAATCACAACGAGCAGCAGTTATAAAGAAGATTGTCAACTTAGATGATGGTGATCATTTAAAAAGTTGCATGGCTCCCAGTAGCTTCCTAATATCAGATGGAAAAGCGTTCCAGACGGCCGCAGACGCAGCACAATCTGAAAGCGTCGCGATAATGCAGTGACCACCATCTTTGTTCGATTGTTAGCCAAAAGACGCTGCTGCCAGGATGACCGTGGTGTGTGTTTTTGTATTTTGCAGGTGGAGCAGCATGAACATTACCCTGATTCATGTTCTGGCGGCTGTCATCTGGCTCGCTATGAGCGTCGAAGGTGACGTTTTTCACACCACTCCTCAGCTATACGTTTGCGTTCATTTAGTTAGTATACAGTCTGTCCTCTTGTGTTACGGTAGTAATGTTCCTGAAGAACACCGCAATTAACTAGACTTTCAACTACACTAGACACTGCTATACACTAGAATGTACTACTATACACTACCCCCCACACCTCCGATCAGCGCAACGGTTGGACTAAGTTACAGTCCAACCGTAATGATTAAACAGTTACCTATGTTTTAGCGGAGCTGTAAATGTGTGTTACCTGTACAGCGTCCATTCGAATCTAAATAGATACCCCGTACCCTGAATTGATTACTCCACTTGTGGGCGTGGTGTACTGTGCAGTCACGTGGGTCTATGGGTCCAATCCATGGTCATCATTAACTCCATTCATTACATCAAGCACATTCCGGCTACACGTGTCTCTCTTCCCGTGAATATGTTAACTACCTCGCCTGGTATGCAGGAGATTCGTGAAGTGCGACCCTGACGATGCATGCTGCTGTTATATGTGGAGTTTGCATCTCTCTATCCCCCGTGGATTTTTAAGCCGGGTCCTCCGATTTTTCACTTTACATTTAGAAACACAGGTGTAGAATGGTTGGCTGCTCTTAATTTCTACGTGATCATATCAGTCACTTCGTTGAGTTGCTATCATTTGTGATGGCCAGGTCGCTTTTGAAAAAGAGCTACTGCACAACAGCTCAGTGGGGCCTTACACCTGTTAAAAAAATGGTTGAGTTTAAATACTAACATGCATCTTTGTACAATTTTGCAGGACTGTTATGCTACACTGGAAGTGCTGGTTTGGAGATTCCTGAAAAACTTACCACATGTGCAGCAGGGGAAGACTCATGCGTGACGATGGAACTGACTCAGAGTAAGTGCTTCCAGGTCAAGGCTGCTGTATATTTGAAGTCTGCGTCTATCTCTCTCCCTGGATATGTTATCTCCCTCGCCTGTTTTTTATTAGGCAGTGGGTTCGATCCCGGACCCTGACGGTGCCTGCTGTATATTTGGAGTCTCTCCCCGTGGTGGTCACTGCATTGATTTTTCTTCGGGTCCTCCTGTAATACTGTACAAGTATTTGGCTTAGAACCGATTGATCTACACCAGAGACGGCAGCCTTAACGGTTTTGTCTCTGCACCAGTGTCATACCAGAGAACAACGCCAAAAGATGAACGGTGCAAAGACAATGGCAAGTAGCAGAGCACTTACAGCTCGCGTTGAGCAGTGCTTATATCTGTAGTGTTTTTATTTCAACTTATTTTTCTCCTGTGTTACTTTCATTTAACAGATCTCCTCGCGTTCGACACCCCATAACTCCGTCGTGTTTTTCCCGCTTGCGCTGCTCGCCTGCTTCGCTCGCTCCGCTCCCCCTCTCTCTCAGACTCTCCACGGCTTGCTTCCTCTCTCTCACTCTCCTAGCCTGTTCTCCCTCTCACTCTCCTGGTCTCTCCACTGCTAGCCTGTTTTCTCTCTCTCTCCTAGTCTCTCCACTGCTAGCCTGCCTGTCACGCTCCGCTCACTTTGCTCTCTCTGCTGCTGTCTTACCACTACACACTGATAGCTTCCCACCGTACACTCCGCTAGCCTCTCTACTGCTAGCCTATTACTATACACTCGGATAGCTTCTCCACTACTAGCATCTCACGAAAACTTCTGCTAGCTTCTCTACTGCTAACTATACGCTCTCCTAGCTTCTCTATTGCGAGCTATCTCTCTGCTAGCTTCTCTTGTCTTCACTGCGACCAACTCCACTCTTTCTATCACGCTCCCGTATATAACCCCCTCCTCATTAAATCGTCATTAATTAAGCAGGCGACCTACCGTCGCCTGACGCCCGTGGCTTCCGTCGTTATCGTCTCAATCTCCCGTCTGCCTGGCGTCTGTTCCGCGCCTGCATTTGCAGCCAGCCAATCACTGCTATGCATCTTAATGAGCCGTCTCCTTTCCGTTGTTCCCTCTCACCACACCTGGTCGCCCTGATGCGACCTCACTGTCTGTAACTCGTATGTGCTTGCACACCACTTGCACCCCCCCCCCCCCCCCCCCGCGTGCGTTATTCCACTATATATCGAAGGCAAACCTCATGATGCCAGTATAAAATAATTAAAAAGATAAAAACAGGCTTCATACCCTTTCTGGCAATAAAACAGTTGTTGTGTTAAGATGTTCAAACACAAAATAGATACTTATTGTAAGGCATCAAGTACAGCATTAACCACACAGTTCTTGTGGTAAACATGCAAACGAATGTGCTCTAATAATATATTGTAATATATCAAAGCATGTGAATTTGCGATCGGTGACCTTAATACATTTGTCACAAAACCGCGATGGCTAAATCCTCTTATTTTGCACATTTTGGGATGCACTTTACCAACAACAAAAACGTTAGATTTCATTACGTACACGTGCTAATTTTTTGTCGTTTATAATTAATTGCATTGTTTTGTTATTGTTTTTCTTCTTTCCAATTACATCTCTATTCCAGGTGATATTCCTTACCAGGCCAGAACCTGTGCCACAAGAGCACAGTGCAATGCGTTCGACTTCAAGGACCAGATGAAACAATACATCCTCGGATTACTGTCGACGTTCAATGGCACCGTCGATAGCACCTCCTGCTGCCAAACAAGTTCGTGCAACAATGGTAATAAAAAAAAACTCTATATTTGGGTGGTTTTTCCTGAAAAACCTAAATGCGGTACCATACAGGCTGTCCCGGGGATATGAAACTTCTAGGCTTACGAACGCCCGCATGCTTATGACCGCCCACGCTTATGACCACCCTTGTGCTTACGAATGCTCGCATGCTTACGAACAGCTGCGTGCTTACGACCGCCCGCACTTACGAACATTCCCTGTAAGATGAACCGCGGAACTACTTTGTTCGGCGGAGCGATCCTCCGCTAGATGTGATGAGACCCGCATCCCCCGTGTTGCACTCCCCTTCCGACAAGTGAGCTAGCATCAGGACTCAAGGTGAGCGAAAATAACTGATTATTTTATTCATGTTACTTTATTTTACGTTTAATTTCATTCACTATACAGTATTTATCGCAGTATTACGTGAAAATGTACAATGTCTTATTTGTGAGTTTTATAATGCTTCCCTGCATTTATTGAACCCGTATCACTTTTTTATGGGACTGACCATATTTACTGTACAATTACCTCTTGATTTTTAAGATACGACAAAAAATCCACTTACGAACGGCTCTCGGGAACATAAAACCCGTTCCAACATAAGTCAAGGACTTTCTGTATGTACGTTTGGGTCGCGTTCTTGAAAACCTGAACCGTGTACTGTTAAATATAACCGTACCAAAAATATCACCGTCTTTTCACGTAATATACAATTATATACAGTGAGGGAAAAAAGTATTTGATCCCCTGCTGATTTTGTACGTTTGCCCACTGACAAAGAATTTATCAGTCTATAATTTTAATGGTAAGTTTATTTGAACAGTGAGAGACAGAATAACAAAACAAAAAAATCCAGAAAAACGCATGTCAAAAATGTTATACATTGATTTGCATTTTAATGAGGGAAATAAGTATTTGCCCCCCTCTCAAACAGAAAGATTTCTGGCTACCAGGTGTCTTTTATACAGGTAACGAGCTGAGATTAGGAGCACACTCTTAAAGGGAGTGTTTTTAATCTCAGATTGTTACCTGTGTAATAAAAGGACTCGGACACTTCTTTCTGTCTTTCGTGTCTTTTATTGGGTTCTCGTCTTCACCCACACGGCACTCTGTTATAACTCTGTATTTGTAGCTCCCGGCTATTCACTGCTATTATAGCTTCCTCTTTCCTCTGACTCTCTGCTTCATCCACTGTAACCTCCTCCCTGCAGACTCGCTGCTACCCCTATGCAGACTCCCGCTGCTGCCCCTATGTGCAGACCCTCTGGCTGCTACTGTATGCAGACCCGCTGCCCACTCTCTCTCTGTGCAGCCCCGCTGCTGACTGCAGCCTCCTCGCTGCCTCGGGTCGGTCACCGCTGGCCAACGGTGCCGATCCTCGCTTCCCCCGTGTTCGTGGCGATCTCGCCACACCCCGCTTCGCCCTTCGTGGCCTCCCTCTGTTCCTGGTTCCCCGTCACTCCCCGTCCTCTTCCGGTTCCCCTCCTTCTATAGCCTAACCCCTCTCCCCCCACGTGACCTAACTCCTCCCCTCATGACGGCACCTCCGGAGGGCCGTTTACACCCGCATTACATCACCCTCCCCCATAAAGAAAATCCAGCCGACCTCGGCTGAATTGCAACCTGAAAGCAATGCGGGTGTAAAGGGCCAACACGTAAAACGACACGAAGCATGCAAGAACAATATAACAATGAACACAACACAATACAATTTTAACGAAACGTGAGGGATTTCGAGCGAGTACGGGCAGCCGGACCGTCCCGGACGGTCGGCAGACCACCCGCCGAGCGGGAACGTGGAAGGGTTTTAGGGGCGACGGGCGCAAGTTCTTCCGTCGCCATTGGAGGCCCGCCACTGTCCCGCTCGCGTCCAGAGACATCCCGTACTCGCGTCCGCGGAGGGATAGGAAGAGCTGCAGGTCCCGTGGGTTCTGCAGCTCCAGTCGACGTCCCACGAGCGGAACGTCCTCCTCCCTGCGCTGTCACGGCCGGCTTGTCTGTGAAGGGTACGACAGGCGCTCTCGCAGGGTCAGCAGACACAGGCAAGGGCGAGTCGGCAGCAACAGACCCCGGCAAGGCAACTTCGGGAGATGACGCATCCGGCCGCGGGGCAATGTATGGCTTCAACCGGGATGTATGCACGAACCAGCGCCGTGAACCAACCTGAACACGCGCCGACTGTGGGTTGGGAACCTCAATGAGGCGGACCGGACCCTGCCAAGGTCTATGTAATTTAGGAGAGGTACCTGGCCGCACCTGTGGGCAATGAAGCCAGGCCAGGTCCCCCTTTTTCCAGGGGCACTCCCCCTTTGATCGTCGGGCACACCGCTCATTCCTGGCCTGAGCCTTGGCAGTAGCCATGCGGGCACTTTCCCTCGCCTCAGCGACACGCCGAACATTGTCCTTAATATATTCAGGAAGAGGCTTAACAGGCCCCCTCGCGCCGGTACCCAACTGTTCATTAATCGGTGGCACATTCTCACGGCCGTACATAAGGAAGAACGGCGAGTATCCAGTAGCCGCGTGCGGCGTCATGCGATACGCCGAAAGCACCCCAGGGATATGCAAATCCCAATCAGATTGATTTTCCCCGACCGTATGGCACAGCATGGCGGACAGAGTCCGATTCAACCGTTCCACCATACCATCCGTTTGCGGGTGGTAGGGGGACGTCCGTATCTTTTTAGTTCCAAGAGCCGCACACACCTCCCCCAACAATTTGGACGAAAAGTTACGTCCTTGATCCGTAAGGAGCCTCTCCGGCGCCCCTTTGTCCATTACATACCCAAATAGAAAGGCGTCAGTGATAGACGCCGCTGACTGGTCAGGCAAAGGCCAGGCCATCGGCCAGCGAGAGAGGTACTCAACCCCCACCAGTAAATACTTATTTCCCTTAGCGGATGGCGGAAAGGGTCCCAAAATATCTAACGCCACCAGCTCATTAACCCGAGATACTTTAATCGATTGTATCGGCGGAACATATGGATGTTTAGGTGGTTTACGGCGGGCGCAATCGGGACACGCGCGAACGTGACCGACGACATCTGTCGTCATGCCGTGCCAATAATAGTCTCGTTGCAGCGTCAATAGGGTTTTCTGCACCCCCAGGTGTAAAAGTGTGTCACAGTGCAAAGATCTAATCAACTCATACCGCAATGACGCAGGCACAACGAGACGCCAGTGTTCCTGTATCCCTTCCCTCCACATCAGTAACCCATCTCGGAGAGGAGTTTCCGAAATCCCACCCGCACCGACTTCCTTACCCGCCTTCTCCGTTCGTTTTCGTAACGACACCAAAGATTCGTCCAACATTTGCTCCCGAATCCCCCGTGTTCGTGGCGATCTCGCCACACCCCGCTTCGCCCTTCGTGGCCTCCCTCTGTTCCTGGTTCCCCGTCACTCCCCGTCCTCTTCCGGTTCCCCTCCTTCTATAGCCTAACCCCTCTCCCCCCACGTGACCTAACTCCTCCCCTCATGACGGCACCTCCGGAGGGCCGTTTACACCCGCATTACACCTGTATAAAAGACACCTGTTCACAGAAGCAATGAAACAATCAGATTCCAAACTCTCCACCATGGTCAAGACCAAAGATCTCTCCAAGGATGTCATGGACAAGATGGTAGACCTACACAAGGCTGGAATGGGCTACAAGACCATCGCCAAGCAGCTTGGTGAGAAGGTGACAACAGTTGGTGCAATTTTTTGCAAATGGAAGAAACACAAAAGAACTGTCAATTTCCCACGGCCTGGGGCTCCATGCAAGATCTCAGCTCGTGGAGTTACAATGATCATGAGAACGGTGAGGAATCAGCCCAGAACTACACGGGAGGATCTTGTCAATGATCTCAAGGCAGCTGGGACAATAGTCACCAAGAAAACAGTTGGTAACACACTACTTCGTGAAGGACTGAAATCCTGAAGCGCCCGCAAGGTCCCCCTGCTCAAGAAAGCACATATACATGCCCGTCTGAAGTTTGCCAATGAACATCTGAATGATTCAGAGGACAACTGGGTGAAAGTGTTGTGGTCAAATGAGACCAAAATGGAGCTCTTTGGCATCAACTCAACTCGCCGTGTTTGGAGGAGGAGGAATGCTGCCTATGACCCCAAGAACATCATCCCTACCGTCAAACATGGAGGTGGAAACATTATGCTTTGGGGGTGTTTTCCTGCTAAGGGGACAGGACAACTTCACCGCATCAAAGGGACGATGGACGGGGACAGGTACCGTCAAATCTTGGGTGAGAACCTCCTTCCCTCAGCCAGGGCATTGAAAATGGGTCGTGGATGGGTATTCCAGCATGACAATGACCCAAAACACACGGCCAAGGCAAATAAAGGAGTGGCTCAAGAAGAAGCACATTAAGGTCCTGGAGTGGCCTAGCCAGTCTCCAGACCTTAATCCCATAGAAAATCTGTGGAGGGAGCTGAAGGTTCGAGTTGCCAAACGTCAGCCTCGAAACCTTAATGAATTGGAGAAGATCTGCACAGAGGAGTGGGACAAAATCCCTCCTGAGATGTGTGCAAACCTGGTGGCCAACTACAAGAAACGTCTGACCTCTGTGATTGCCAACAAGGGTTTTGCCACCAAGTACTAAGTCATGTTTTGCAGAGGGGTCAAATACTCATTTCCCTCATTAAAATACGAATCAATTTATAACATTTTTGACATGCGTTTTTCTGGATTTTTTTGTTATTATTCTGTCTCTCACTGTTCAAATAAACCTACCATTAAAATTATAGACTGATCATTTCTTTGTCAGTGGGCAAACATATAAAATCAGCAGGGAATCAAATACTTTTTCTCTCACTGTAACGTGATGGGAGATCTGACCCAAAGCTCGAATGAAATAAACATTTCGACACAGCTGAGATTTTCATACATGTGAAGTATGGGAATTGACGGCAGGAACTTCTTGACGGGTAACACACTTTTATTAAATCCTTTAGGTATCACAATACAACGTGTGGTCTTTCTTCTTCCTCCGACACACTCCACTAAT